AATCACATCTTATTAAAGCATATTAAAAGGAAACTAAGTGTTTATACAAATTGGATGGTATAAGAATGTGTGTGAGGAGATGTGAGCTTTTTTGTTGTATTTGACAAAAAGTTTTGAAAGATTAGAGCAAAAATTGAGTGATGAAGGAAATCCACATTCACTACTTAAACGTGTATATGTTTCACTTCTATATAATGTGATTGCTTTTAAGTTTTAACATCGTGCGAATGTGGTATGACCTAGATTTATGTAAATCGAGTTCTTCTTTTTTTTTTTTAAGAAAAAAACAAGTTTCAAGGGGTTAGAGTGGAAATTCGAAGAGTGGGAGGGTGAGATTGTAATTTTGTGATAGAGTTTTGTTTGTGTGGACAATTACCAAGAAAGAAAGAAAAGGATAAACAAACTGAGAAAAAGAGGCGGCGGGAATCTCCGATTCTCCGGCCACGTATCCCTTTCCCTCTCCGACTTGATAAAGCCATCCCTTAAACGTGGCACAACACTATAGGTCAATTCCCAGAATTTTAAATTTAATTTTTTTTGTGCAAATAATTTCTTCCGTAAAAGAAAAAGTAAAAAAGTTTCATTTCAGGTATATAGCAGATTAATAAACCCTCACTTCCTCAAAATCTCTCTTTTCATTCTCAATCGTAGAGAGAAATCAATAGTCGTTGTGGATTTGGTCGGTGTATACGTAATCACGTATGCGTGTGTTTGTGTATATGTTTGTTAATAGATAGATAGATTGATAGTTGTAGTTTGATTGGAATTGGGAATTCGTCGGTGGTTGTTGGGTGTGGTTGCGAGTTTGGATTGATTAATTGATGGATTGATTGATCGGATCTTGGATTTTTTTTTTTTGCTGTGTCCGAATTGGTGTGCGATTTGATCTGCATGAGCGGTGGAACGGCGAGTGAGGAATTGTTGTTGTTGTGAAGGTTTTGTCGTGGTGGAATATCCACAACATGTCTGCCATAGTGTGCGGCAAGAGATCAAGCATCTTCGAGGATTTGCCGTCATCGTCGCCGTCGTCAGCAGGATCTCCGTCGTCCCCGCCGAGCGCGAAAAGGATCCGCTGCTCGTCTTTCTCTCCGCCGAGGTCCGCCGCCGCCGCCAGTTTATTCTCGGCTGCTTCCTGGACATCGGTTTCAACGCCGCTTGGTTATTTGGTTGCTCGCTTCCCTAGCATGGACAAAGAGGTTTTGGTTTAATTTATCCTTATCAAGACTTCATTTTTCAAGTTTTTTGAATTTAAAGTTTATGTTTTTAGCTATTCTGAATTGTTGTATTGGAATTGGGAATGACTTATTGGTATTCTAATGCCATTTATCGAACTTATTGCTTGAGATTTTGTAGGGCAGTGTTAGGGTTGCGCAAACTTTATTGCAATTCTTATTTTCTTAGTACTGTGTCAATTAAAACCCTGGATTTTATCTGAAGCTAATAACTTCTCCCAGTACTCTCAAATTGTCATGACTTTCAAAATTTTGTTGGAGAAATGTGTGATTTTGGTTGGCTTATGGAGTACTTTGTGCAATATTTGTCAATGAATTTCACTTGTATGGTTATCAAAAATTTGGCTGTCATATATATATATATATATATATCACTCAAATTCTTGGACTGGAAGTATATGGTTCCATTGTTTCACATTAACTATTCAACTGGCACTGTTTGATCATATTCTGATTATGAACTTGTGAGTTATATCAGTCTATAGTGTATTGGAGTTCATTATATTATATTATATTTTTTCATATATTATATGAAGTTGATATGAAGAGCAAGTTTTGAATTGATTACCAGTAATACTATTAATACTAGCCTAACATAATACTGCTGAAAGTTGCAATTCTGATACCATTTTTTGTGTATGCTTGGTGAATTATGTGCCTTGTATTTTAAAAGCTGCAATAGGATTTGTTCAATATATACTAATACTACCACATGAAATTCATAAGTGAACTAAGTCCAACATAATTTACCTATCTATTGTAGCAGCTTATGTGTTTAAGACTGTTCAGAGGTTTATTCATCCGTGTAAATAGAATCTATGTAAGCAAACATATACTTTAGCTCCGCTCATGGAATTGTTCATGTCACCAATCGCTGTGTAATTATGTATTAAAGTTTAAATTTATTGCAGAGGAAAGAATACACTTATGTTACATATATTGACAAAATGCTCTGTAAAATTTTCTGCCAATTTACACAAGTCCACTCAAGTTGATTAGGATGCATAGTTAAGTTTCGTAAAGTTGCACGAATGGATAGTGAGGGTGAGATAAGGAAATATTAGACAGAAAAAGGAGCCCTCATTTAGGTTCCCATATCACTTAGTGGCCTCACCCATTCCACATTACCACCTACTGATGATGCTGAAGTCTGGGAACAATAGATTGCTGTAATTCATTCCAACTGATGATGTTTTAACTTTGGCAGGAAAGATTGCCGTAATGCGTGTAGATTTAACTTTTTAATTTAAATGTGTATCCTTTTCTACCTGTAGTTATGCTAGAAATGGGTAGGTATGAAAGAAAAATAATGTGCTTATTTCATCAGTTTTCTTTTTCTTTTTTTGTTCCTCTCCAAAATCATTAATTGGTAATTTGTTGTACAAAACAGTAAACAATCTTGTAACAACTAACAAGTCAACATGTTATTATCTCAAGTTAGCATACTTTACGGTTGTTCTGAGAGAACTTTCAATTCCATTCCTGATTGTGGATTGTGTTGGGTGTTTAATCCCTTTAGCCCATTTACCTTTTGATCTATATTGATTTAGTTATTTTGCAGTTGCTGGAAAAGGCACTTCACGAATGTGGTAATGATCTTGATTCTGCTATCAAAAGCCTAAATGAGCTTTTCTTGGGGTCTGGTGAGAATATGGGCTCAGCTACAGGGAAGCCTGATGCTAGCTTGGAGGCCAGCACACAGATTTTAAATCAAGGTGCATTTTTTTCCTGATTTAGTGTTAAGTGTTTTTTGCTTGTGGATTTATATCTTCTTTCTTGTCTGTGATATTTGGGATTATAATTTGAATTGCAATCCTTTAACAATAGGAAATTTTTGGTTTTGTATTTGTGCATCCCCTGTGTTTGTTTCTATGCAGATTGGACTTCTCAGTTTTGACTGGGCATAATTTTTTTTCAATATAAGAATTAGAACTGTGAATTTGTCAATGTTAAGCTGAAGAAAACATGGGTTAGAATTTGTACATTTTTTTCATGTTTTCCCTAACCTAAGATGAGCTGTTGTTTTCTGATATCTGATTATTGTTTGATAGACAATTTCTGCTATTCTTTGACCAGTTATTGGCTATCATGACCAGTTATTTTTGTATATGTTGATGCTGATTGTAGGCAAATTATACCATGGTGCGTTGTGAACCCTGGTCCAAAAATAACCTTAAGATTATGTGTCTGTAATTGACACATACCTGCCATTAATAGTTTTTGTATCTGTAAACAAATTGAAGGCACATAACATGGTAATTACAGATTTACAGACATATAACATGATAACTACAGACACATAAATTGTTAACTGCAAGTACATAATATGTTAATGGTAGACACATAATGCCGTTAACATATTCTATACCTGCAGTTAATAGTTTGTGTCTGTAGTTATCATGTTATGTGCTTTCAATTTGTTTAGAGATACAAAAACTGTTAACTGGGATTCAATTGTCTAGTAGACCATAACAAAATAGGATATGTAGTGCCCCTTTAATTTTATTTGTTTATTTATTTATGTTTTCTGTTGAATGTAAATTGGGATTCTATGTTGATTCTTTAAGTGGGCATTCATAATCACCAGTGAAACCGCACATGGATACTTTCTTAAAATTGTTTGCCTTCTGCACCAACTTTAGACATTTTACTTGTGCAGGTAACTCAACAAGTAATGGGGGTGATGGCACACCTCAAGAGCAACCATCTGCAAATAAACAACCTCCCATCAATAGGGAAGAATTTGTCGAGATTTTTGTTAGAGAAATGACGATGGCGTCCAATATAGATGATGCTAAAGCCCGTGCTTCACGAGCTCTTGAGGTTTTTGAGAAGTCCATTTATGCGAATGCATCTGAAACTGCCACTCAGAGTTTCCAGCAGGTAGTTTGTTAGTATGGAATTATATTCTTCTTGCTGTGTTCTTATAAATTACCCTCATATAGCATTTGTCACAAACGTTTTTCTCCGCAAAACTATTTTCATCTAAAGTTTGTCTCTTCTTAACTTCAGGAGAACCTGATACTGAAACAACAGCTTGAAGCCTTATTACAGGAGAACAATATTTTGAAACGGGCTGTTTCCATACAACATGAGCGGCAGAAAGAATTCGAGGAAAGAGGCCAAGAAGTGAACCAATTGAAGCAGCTCTTGGCTCAATACCAAGAGCAGCTTAGGACTCTCGAGGTAAAATCATAACCCTGAAAATTTTTAAAGAACCCTTTGTTGTTATCTAATGCCCTCTCAGTGAACTTCGAAAACTTTTTACTCCGTATTTGTTATAAATAGGGCTCACTCTTCATATTATTGCGTCCCCATCAGGTTAACAACTATGCCCTTGCAATGCACCTCAAACAAGCACAACAAAGTAACTCCATGCCGGGGCGATTCAACCCAGACATCTTTTAGTGTGTATGATGTGAGCTTGGCCGTGGTAGACTGCCTAGCAACCACGTACTCAGTTGAGCTAAGTATTTACGTATGCTTTAGTTAGCCATCATTTGGTAGATTGCCATTGCTGTCTTCTAAGGCAAAGTGTGATTGTCATCTGACTTAACTCTGGTGTGTTTATTTGCAATTAGTTGCCTTTAATTTTATCAATAAATATATTGAAATATTTCCAGAATCGTTTTCAACGCACTTTTGTGTCCCATGGTATTTGCAATAACTAATCATTTGAAAATATTTTATTATACTTGTCTGCTTTATTCTTGTTATGCATATTCTTGCAATAACTAATCATTTGAAAAAACATTTTTTCACCCCACCTTACAGTATACTCAACATTCCAACTTGAACAAGATTCTTATCAATAAGATCTTATATAGACTCACAACTGATAGAAATCCTTCGGAAATTCAAAAATAAACAATCTCTTCTAGCCAAATATCAATAATGAATCAATGATGCTATTGTATTAAATGAAGTACTGGTAATTCATCAATGAGGTCTGCTAAAATGAATTTCCACCATATGCACAGCACTTCCCAATCCCATTTTCACAGTATGCGGAATACCATACTATGCCTTTTTCCTTCCCTGGGGATTCTGCATTAGAACATTTAAAAAATTCCTTTAAAAACATCTCTATGGATAATCAGACTAGAAAGAACACAATTATAATTTCAACCCCAGATATGTTCAATGTTGTTGAGAGACAGGTAGAAAGTAGAAACCTGTCATAACGAAGAACGAAAGTATCATTCCCAGAATCTTGTTGCACTTGTTGAATGCGCTCAGCGGAAGTGATGCTGGAGTCTGAACATTGATTTAACTCTATTAATTGGAGAGTGGCAATATCTGCAAAATTGCTGGGAATCTCTTCCAACATAGAACACCAGCGTAGGACTAGACATTCAAGGTTGGGAAAATGATCGTCAGTTGCTTCCCAGTACCTTAGATATGATTCATGTATGAGCAAGTGTTTTAATCGACGAAATCCCCCATCTCTAGATTCCCATTTTGGGCCATCAACAGCATTCTTCAGCTTAAGAACTTCAAGCTTGGGCAATTTACCAATAACATCCATATCCTTCCAGTCTAGTTTTGTTTCAGCGAGTTTTAGTGTCTTAAGATTTGGCAGAAAATTTTCCAAGCTCAACATCTCCAAATAGTCAGTTGTTCTGAACCCCCAAGAAATGATGTTTCCACGAATCTTTAGCTTCTGGAGTTTATACAAGTAGGCAAGATTTTTAAACCAATTGGATTCTTTGCATTCTGGGATATCCTCCAAGCTTTGAACTCCAAGATCCATTAGATTTGGTGCTCTCATGAACAATTCCTTTGTACAACTCCTGCAATCCAACCAACGAATAGTATGCAAGTTCTCTTGAATTGATCTCGGAGGAACTCGACAATAAATGTCATAAAAACAGAGATGCCTTAATTGAGGTAATCCCCAAATTTCAAAGAGGTTTTCTTCACACTCTATCTGTGCAGCAACTACTAATATCTTTAGATTTGACAACATGAACCAGGGTAGATCGCCAATAAGCAGAGTGTGGAATTTTAAGATTCTCAAATGAACAAGACTCATAATCTGTCTGAGTGTACTGGTGTTGTCAATTTCAGACAATACCAATACCCTTAACAGCTTAAAATTTACAGCTGAGGGGAGCTTGAAGAAAATGTGATCACTAAACCAAAGAGCTGAAATTCTTAATTGGGTAATCCATTGTTGAGCATTAGGAGAATAGTTTGTTGGTTCTCTCCTATGCTTCCGAGACATGGCACCATCTTCCTTCTTATACAAAAGATTCTCTCTTTCGGCTTCTCTTAAGACCAACTCAAGCAAGACATCATGCATTTGGCATTCCTTGATTTCTCCACAACTCTTTCTATAAACTTGAACAAGATTTCTATCTATAAGGTCTTGTATATACTCCTTTGCCACATCTTCCAAGCCCTTAGACTTCACAACCTTTAGAAACCCCTCTGAAAGCCAAAAATGAACAATCTCGTCTACCGAAATCTTAGAGCCTTTTGGAAAAATTCCAAACGACAAAAAACAAGGTTTAAGGTGGTGAGGTAGGAAGGTGTAACTCAAACTGAGGATGTCTGCAAATTGTTGATCATCAAGACTAAGTGCACTAACATTTTTTGCAATATGCTCCCATTCACTCAAGGTTTGCTTGGATTTTGAGAGAAGTCCAGCAGTCACAATAATTGCAAGAGGTAATCCTTTGCACTTGTCTACTATATCTCTACCAATACTTTCAAATTGAGGGGATAAAGCTATTTTCTCAGAGACTTTGTGGTGAAAAAGGCTCCAACTTTCATGAGAATCTAAGAAACTCATGTTATGATAAGAATTGCTCCCCGTGCTTGCATACTCAGCTACATTTTTAAGTCGAGTGGTCAACAATATTCGACTTCCATTTTTATCTTCTGGAAAGTATTTCAACAAATCACTCCAAACATCTATTCTCCATATGTCATCTATGATGATCAAATACCTTTTTCGCTTTAGACATTTGTATACCTGCTCAGACAGTTCATCATTACTTTCACCATTCCACGAGTCAAGAGAATGTAGAATGCATTGCAACACTTGTCTTGGATTATACTCCTGTGAGATACTAACCCATGCTCGACAATCAAAATGAGAAATTATTGTTACATCCTCGTAAACACTTCGAGCTAAGGTGGTTTTGCCAATGCCTCCCATTCCCACAATTGAGACAATTACTCGCTCCAAGGAATTCCGATTCAACTTGTCCATTATCGTGTTGAAATCCTCATTGCATCCCACCACCATTTTGGTTGTAGACTTCAAGGTATGTTGCAGCAAGTTGCCACCCTCACATCCTGAACCACCAAGCATACTATCCAGCATTTTAGAATTTCTGGACTGATTGAACTCATTCTTAATCTTCAGTAGCTTTTTCTTGATGCTACCTGTGTGTTTGATGCCTTGAGAGAAGATTCGACGAAGCCTTTGTCGAGCCTCTATCATTTGCTTTGTGTATTTTCTGAGATAAGAGGCTCTTGATTCTTGTATGATTAGGATTTTTGCTTCAAGCAAGGTTACTAAGATTAGTTCAGCAGGCAAACTCTCTGCTGGGACATCCATGACCATTACAAGATTTGCATTCAAATGTATTGAGAAATGGACATCTTGTTCATCTATGACAGCACTAAATTCTTCATCCAAGCTAGGCTCAAGCTTTACGACATCACTAAATTCTTCATCCAAGCTAGGCTCAAGCTTTATGACATCACTAAATTCTTCATCCAAGCGAGGCTCAAGCTTTTCGCAGAGAGATGTGACCCTTCTTCTTATATGAGCAGGCATATAGGGCACCGGAATCGCAAAGTGTTTCCTTAGTCTGGCACACACATAAACAAAATCCATGGCTTCCATTTCCTGGATTTCCCAATTCACGATTGGAAGAAGCTCCAGAGCAGATTCAAGCCTAATCTTCATCGCTTTCCCGAGGTGAAGCAATGTCAGTTGCTGTTCAATTTGGAACCTTAAATCCACAGAAACGTCTCTAATTCTTGCCTCCAAAACATTGCCCACCTTGAGATCTTCTTCAAGAAGGGTTTGCACAAAACAAAGATTCCGGTAAAGAGATCTGACCTTCCTTTTGGTGCGGAGAGTGAATAGCGGTTTGGATTGGAGGAAGTTGTGGTGTAGGATGTCCATTAAAGTAGTTGCAGCAGCGAAAGCCATAGCCGATGATGATGTTATTAGCTTCGGATTTGCAGAGGAGAGGGTTTGAGAAAGTTGGAATGTGGAAGAAAGGAGAAAAAGAAGAAGAAATGAGATCTCGATTATTTAGCACTGTTTTTAGCTTTAAGCCATTACAGGATTTGGTGTCCTTTCTTATAATCAGATCGAATGGGATTGAAGCATTGCTTTATAAGATTCCTTTCAAAGTTCGGCGGGAAAAATGATAAAGTGAATAAAACAACGCGTCTCTATTTAATTGGAGCAATAAAAAGAAAGCACTGAATAATGTGATCCATTTTTTGCAAAAACTTGTTTGAAATTGTTTCACCAGGGTGATTAAAATGAAATGTAATACTAATTAATAATAAAAATATTTGTTACTTCATCTATATCATTTTATGTGTCTGATTCGATTAATGAGACTTGATTGAAGTTATTTGGCTAAAGTGTCATCCCGCACCATGAACTATAACGGATTATTCATGCCGCACCCTGAACTTTCATAAGTGATGTTTAGAATCACAAACCATTAATTGTGGCACCGGTAATATGCTGGTGCGGGATGACACTTTCATAATATTAAATTTAGTATTTGTATACAAAATTTATATATTTAGAAATTACACTAAAAGTATTATTAAACACAAAAATTAATTTTAAAAATAAGTAAAAAATACTAAAGAAAATAAAGAGTTGATTTGACCAATAAATAGTAAGTAATACATATAAAATTGGATAGAGAGAGTATTTATTATGGAAAATGTAATATTTTGGAAGAAAAATATACTTCATAATACTTTTACAAATATTACATTTTTCTTCAAAAGTATTATAATTTTCCTTATAAATAACAAACACTTTATTCCTAATTAATATTACATTTCTATCTTGATCTGACCTGTCTCACGAATAAGGATCCGTCGCTCAACTTTTTTTTATTCTTGGAGGCAAAAAGTGAAAAATTCCTCGTCTTGAGTCCTCATACTTCGATCATACAAAAATTATAGAAGAATTAAATTACAATAATTCAACGGTACTACATTAATTAAATATTAGAGTAAAAAGTAGAAGTATATTTAAACACTTAATTTTATTTGATCTTTCTTTTTTTTAAAAAAAAAAAGTGTTTGGCTAAGGGTTTATTTAGAAACACGAAAAATATGTTTTAAAAAATAATCTAGAATGGTAGGATATGGATGTTATTGGTAAATTGCCCAAGCTTGAAGTTCTTGAGGTGGAGGATGATGTTGATGGCCCAAAATGGGAATCTAGAGTGGGAGATTTCGTCGATTCGATTAAAACACTTGCTCATACATGAATCACATCTAAGGTACTATGATGCAATCGGTGATCATTTTCCCAACCTTGAATGTCTAGTCCTACGCAGATGCTATATGTTGGAAGAGATTCTCAGCAATTTGGTAGATATTGCCACTCTCCAATTAATCGAGTTATGTCAATATTCAAACTCCAGCATCACTTGTGCCGAGAACATTCGACAAGTGCAACACAATTCTGCGAATGATGCATTTGCTCTTCGTTATGACAGGTTTCTACCTGTCTCTCAACAAGATTGGACATATGTATCTGGGGTTGAACTTAGGGTGCGTTTGAAAACCCGAAAAATGACTTTGGAAAAATGTTTTCTAAATTTTCAGTGTTTGACAAGAGGGGGAAAATGAGGTCAATGGAAAATGATGTATTAGTCAAACGATAGGTTTGGGGAAAAATGACTTCCCCTTTTTTTTGTAGGGGGAGGGGGGAGTCATTTTTCAAAGGATACACATGCCAAATTGTTCGGACCAAATTTTTTGCAGGCCTTTGCGAGTCGGCCCACCAAACCCGCAAGCTAGGGTACATATATATATAATCGCACTCACATGCGAATGCTTCGCCCATGAGCGAAATATGAATGGATTCTGTCTGTTCACGTGTCCAGATCTAATGGATGAGAAACACTGATTTTTTTAAAAAAATGCGGTGGCATTTTCGTAAATAATTGAATATCGAAGTGCAAGTAAAATGTATTACAAGTGCATCTAAAATGTATTATAGGTGCAAGTAAAAATTTACACTGAGCATCACTACTAAGTGCACCTATAGTTATAAGTAGTTGCACCTATAGTTCTAAGTAGTTGAACAAATAGTTATAAGTAGTTGCACCGAGGTGTATGAATGTTTGCGGGTGGTTTTCAGGGGTATTACTACCCGCTAAACTCAGATCAATGAATGTTAACAAGGCAAAATTACATGCACTTATAGGTGAAAGTAGGTGCACCTATAGTTATAAGTAGTTGCACCTATAGTTATAAATAGTTGCACCTATAGTTATAAGCATACCCAGGTGCATAAATGTTTGAGGGAAGTGAATGCTAAGAAGGCAAAATTACATGCACTTATATGTGAAAGTAGGTGCACTTGTAAGTGATTTTACTTGCACTTCAATGTTCAATTATTTACGAAAATGCCACCGCGTTTTTTTAAGCTATTAGATCTGGACACGTGTCGCGCGCTGATTCGTTCGCATATTCCTTCTTGGACACTTATTCGCACCTGAGTGCATCCACACACACACACACACACACACACACACACACACACACACACACACACATATATATATATATATATATATATATATATATATATATATATATATATATATATATATATATATATATATATATATATATATATATATATATATATATATAGAAGAGCGCTCATATGCGGCGGGGTCTTACGGTGCGGCGGTGCGGTCAAATTCCAGAATACACCAACAGTGTTAACAATATGCACCAACAGTGTAATAAAAACACACCCCAATGAAATGTAATAAAACATCACAAAATACACCACAGACTCAAAAAAACACACCATATAACTCACCACCCCCAATAGTGTATTTCCGAACAGTGTATGATGTTTTTACTCACACCTAATGGTGTGTGTTTGGTGATGCAGGGCTCTGTTTACTCTGTTTTGTGTGGTGTATTTCCTAACGTTGATAGTGCATATTTGGTGAACTATTGGTGTTGCCGCACCGTAAGAAATAACCGCACCGTAAGACACTGCCGCACCTGAACCCGCCTCTATATATATATATAGGGAAGGGTTCATGTGTGGGTATAGCTTCCCGTGCGGTTGTGCGGTTAGATCTGAGTCGTTGATCAAAGCTAGATCAAAAGCTCAAATCAATGAATTTTTTTTTTAAAAAAACGCGTGTTTGGAAGAAAGCAACGCACCTTAAGTGTTAGATCTTAAGCACAAACTCACGCACATTAAGTACAAAACCCACGCACATTAAGCACAATCTCACGCACATTAAGCACAAAACCCACGCACTTTAAGTATTAACTCACAGACCTTAAGTTTCAACAACTACTGACATTAAGCACAAACTCACGCACATTAAGTACAAAATCCACGCACTTTAAGTATTAATTCACAGACTTTAAGTTTCAACAATTACTGACATTAATCACTAACCTCACACATATTAAGCACAAACCCTACGCAAATTAAGCACAAACTCCACTCACATTAAGAACAAATCTCACGCACCTCAAACACAAAAGCCCACACTTTAAGTTTTACCAACTACTCACATTAAGCACAACCCCACGCACATTAAACACAAAACTCACGCACCTTATGCACAAGACTCACGCACCTTATATACAAAACTCACGCACCTTAATCATAGAACCGCTCACATTAATTTTGACCTAAATACAAAAATTACAAAATTGCCACCGCATTTTTTTTTAAATTTTGGTAATCCTGGACGTTGATTTAAGCGAGATGAATGGCCCAGATTAAACCGCACAACCGCATCTGAGCACCTAACCTCACCAGAACCTAATTATATATATATATATATATATATATATATATATATATATATATATATATATATATATATATATATATATATATATATATATATATATATACAAAAGGATTATATCAAAAGTATCAAACAATTAAAAATTTGAAATATTCAATTCTTTTCATTTTCCTACTCATTTTTTAGAAAATGAACCAAACACACAAAGACAGTTTTTCGTTATGTAGCCAAACACTGGAAAGGAAAATGTTTTCTAGAAAATTACTCATTTTCCAGAAAATATTTTCCAGAAGTCATTTTCCGGGTTTCCAAATGCATCCTAAAAGTCTTACGCTTTAGAGTAAAATGTCCTAAAAACGCGGTTTAGTACGGAAATGCCTGCCTAAATATATTTTACTTGTTTTTAGGTACTTTTGGACGGAAAACGTGGTAAAAAGGCGAAAATAAGCAAAGCCGGGAAGAAGAGCGCGAACGAGGACCGAACGCACCGGGACTACGCACGAGAGGAAGGACGGAATGGGAATTATTTCCCATTCACGCCCCTCCTCACGCCGTGAGGGGAGTGTAAACGGGATCTGAAAGCGGTCGAGAAAGCTATGCAAGGCAGAGGATTATATCTTAGGGTGCGTGAATAGGGTGACGAACCAGCAAAGAATATTTAAGGCAAAAAATCAGCATTTGGAACGGAGTTCAATTCACTTTTTAGAGAGTTCTTTTAGATTTAGAGAGAGGTTTTCCAAGGTTAGAGTAGGATTCTAGAGAGAGAGAGATTTAGATCTTTAATAGCAAACACCTTGTATGCTAGATTTTGCAAAGAAGCTTGAAGATTGAAAGCATTTGTCTAGTAGATCCTCATCAACGATTCGTATTCGGTGGATCTAAACGATTGGGGTAAAATCTACTTTGTGCTTTATTGTTATATCTCTTTTTTCCCATTTGATTGTTGAAGATCTTGATTATGCTTGGCTAAATCTAGTGGGTAGGATTGTGGTGTAGATTTGTATTGTGATGATGATTTAACTTGTGAATATTGTGGCTTTTGATTGAATGTTGACTATGTGAATGTCTTGTTGTTGAGGATGATCTTTGTGACATTCTTGGAGTGGGCCCAACTCCATGGATGGTGAGCAAACGGTCGGTCGGTTACATAAGATTGCTAGATCCGGGTAGGGGTGAGCAAACGGTCGATCGGTTACATGACCGACCGAATAACCGACCGTAGTTTTTGACCTTCGTAACCGACCGAAACTGACCGGAGGTGGTCCTATGACCGACCGATAACCGATC